CCTGGGCCCGAAGAGGACCCCCAGAGGCCGAGCATGAGCGTCACCGTCAGAAACGTCGAGCTCGAATGAGCTCGAATCGGCGAAAGATCGCCGATGGATCGGCGAATACGTAGTCCCCCGAGGCATTGACCCCGCTTGTGAAGCCCGAAGTGGGCGCGGACAAAAACGGATACGATGCCCAACAACAAGTGTTGTCCAAGACCGACAGCAGCCGCTGCTGAGCAGGCTCCCCACAGCAAAACCATCGAAACCCAGGGCACCGTGGAGGCAAGCAGCGTGTCTCTTGGCATGGGCCCCCACTGTCCCCGTGTCGATCGCCCCGACCGTCTGCCCGAAAGCCCGCCTACGGGGAGCCCCGCGGGCAGCCCGGGGCTCACGGGGGCCGGCCGCGGGCATGCTGCCGCCGCCTCGCGTCCAGGGCCGCCTGCGGACGCAGGGCGCGGCCGCGGCGGCCTCGCGCCGTACGAGCCCGGTGATGGAGTCGAAATGCTGCCAGAAGGAACCCTAGATAACGAACGAGGCTCCTTCTTTAGACGAAGAAGAAAAATAAGCGCCATATGCATAAACTTTTGGCGCTCCGCGCGCATTTCTTGGATCTGTGCTGGCTCCCCCTCCCTTGCGCGCGGAGCGCGCCAGCGGCGGCGCCAGAGGAGCCGCCAGGGGGACCGAGCAAGGATCGGAGAAATCCGCGCGGAGCGCCAGAAGTCTATGTTTATGCAGTTTTTCTTCGTCTTAAAAATAACGAGCGAGGCCCTTTTTGTTTCCATAAGTTAAACTTCGATCTCTCACAGAAAGCCTCAGGAACACTGGAGACAAACTGTGAAACAATTGGGGATCACTGAGCCCCTCCCCAACGAAGAGGGCTCCTTTTTCAGCGGCCCGACTGTACTCTCTGTCACCGCGCGGTTCGTCCAGCCATGATCGGGCGACGAAATCGATCCATTTCCAGTGCCCCCTGGGCGGGCCCTTCCGCACGCCCTCCTGGCCAAACCAGGATGGGCCTGGCCAGGGAGCAGTGAATGTGTATAGATTTCGTCGCCCGAGATGAGGGCCCTGGACCTAAAAGCGGCCCTCAGCAGAAGACAAATTGAGAGAAGCGTGTTCGAAGGCAACTGCTTTTGAGCGGTGTAGCGAGTCATGCTGCCACACCAACATACCACGGCGGCTGGCGGCAAAGCGCTTGGCTTGGCATCGCTTGCACACGCACGCAGTACAGCAAAGTGCTGACGAACGACGAGCGAGCTGGGGCTGGTATCGCAGAACTGTTCTGTGCACGCCGGGATCTGGGGATGTGGCGTTCAACCTTGAGCGATCGGCGGCTTCTCGATGGCTCAGTCGTTCCATGTCGACCGATTCTGATCGCCGTCAGGGTTATTCCATGTTGGCGCTCAGGAGTCGTTCCACGGCGGCGTTCCACGGCGTCCAAGTGAACGATGCCGTTGTCCGAACGATGTTTTCAAGGCGGCGTTCAACCTTGAACGCTCGTGGCGTGACGACCTGCGCCCTTGTTTCTGGCGCCACGTGCATCGTCCAGCCTTCAAAGATCGCGGCACATACGATCAGCGCAGCATCGCTCAAGGCGGCGGCCGACGCCTGGCCACTGGCCGCCTTTTACGCTGGGGTCGCCGCCGCCGCCGCCGCCCGCTTCTCCCAGCCAGAATCCGTTCAACCTTGGCCCTTGGACTTATCCCTCGCCCTCATCTTCAATCGCTCGGTCACAACTAACGGCTGATGAATTCGCCGACTATCCAAGCAGGTAAGGATCGAATGGGCGCGGGAAAGAGAGAGAGAGAGAAGGAATGGATTGAGAGCGTTCCCCCCTCATCCCTGCACTGGATGGGCCTTGAACCTCCAGCCCCCCGCCGATTGCGGAACTCAAAGTCGGCGACCCCAAAGGGTGTGGTTTGCAAAGGGTGTGGTTTGCAACCGGCACCCTGGGGAACATCCTGGGGGGCACCCTGGGGGGCGCGCGGGACCTCGATAGAGCTCTCCGCCGCGCCCCGAGGAGGCCCGACGAGGACAGTGTCGTACCCCCCAGGCCCCGACGGTGCCGATCGCAAACCACACCCCGGCGCAACCATACCCTTTGTAGTCGCCGACAAAGGTCCCGAATGGGGTGAAGGTAGTTAGCTCCGGAACCCACCTGCGCATCCCTGGCAATGAAGTAGAGTCCGGGACGGCTGTGGTAAGAAGAGATGTGGCGCCAGTGCTGGACATGGCGATGTTATCTACGATGCCCGCGAGTGCGTTGCATCCCGATGTCAATGACGTTGGCTTTGCGCCGACCACTTCAAACAAAGTCAGAATTCCTGGTTCCAACTTCCAAAGACGACTGCAAAGCATCGTGGGCTCGAAGCGTCAACCATCCTACTCGAGGGTTCGGAGCGTCAACCATCCTGCTACTCCTCCTCCTACTCCTTGTACTCTCACTCCTCCTCCTACTCCTCCTCCTCATCCTCCTCCTCCTCTTCACTCCATCCTACTCCTCCTCCTCTGCTTCACTTCATCCTTCTCCACTCCTTTTCCTTGAACAACTCATCCCTGTCGCACCCCGAGGCCAGTCGAAAGGGCGGGCCAGGCGTTTTGCTTGAGACTTCCTTACCATGTATGGCCCTGAAGCTTAAATATCGGCAACACATTCACATATGGAGGGCGGGCGGGTTTCAAAAAGTGGCTCTCGCCTTAGCGCCGCGCATACTCGTCTCAAGCATTTGCAACAGTTTCCCGGATTGAGGGTGGGTGGTTTTCAAAATGTGGCTCTCGCCGTAGCGCCGCGCACACGTCTTTAACATTTGCAAGCGTTTCCAGGATTGAGGGCGGGTGGTTCTCAACATGCGGCTCTCGCACCTTAGCGCAGCGCACATTCGTCTTAAAGAATATAAGAGTTGTTCTGGGTCGACGGCGGGCAATTTTCAAAATGTGGCTCTCGCCTGATCGCCGCGCACAGTCGTCTTAAAACATAACATGAGCTTAACGGATTGAGGGCGGCTCATTTTCGACATGTAGACCTCGAAGTAATGCCGCGCACATTCGTCTGAAATATTTGGAAGAACTCCACTGGTTCCCATGGTCAGCGTAACAGAAATGGTGTTGTGGACCAATTCAGGCTTGTTGGGGCGCAACGGATGCGTTGATTCGCGGTACTGAAATCCTAGGAACGGTGTTCTGGCACGATTCAGGATCGTCAAGACGCAACAGTCAAGTTGATTCGTGGCGTTGGAGTCCGGCGAATGGTGTTTTGGTACGCTTCACAAAGTTGTCTCCAGAGGGGGCACCTCCTTCAGTGGGAACGAATCCTTGTAGGGGCCTGTGAAGAGGGAACTTGGAGGACGGGTGTATTCCAACATCGTTGATGAGTGTTGGGTTTACACTAGTCCTCCTCCTCCTCCTCCTCCTCTTCCTCCTCCTCTTCTTCCTCCTCCCCTCGGGGGCGACGATGGGGGCAAATAGCCCAGGGGAGAACAACGCCGATGGTTCATGCCTCCGGCGAGGCCCCGGGGCGAATACACCCGCCCCTGGGCTATACACCCCCATCGTCGCCCCCGATCCCTTCCTTCTCCTCCCTCCCTCCCCGCCCCCTCTCGGGCCCGGCCAGCCGCAAGCCCGCAGTGCCCCCTAAGGAGTGAGGAGAGAGAGGGGGGGGGGCGCGCCGAGCCCGGCAGCCTTTCGCCCGGGACGATCTGACTGCCCAGGGGCGGGGCACGGCCTTCCAGAGGCCTTGAACGGTCGTACCTCTCATTGGGCGGCGACATCCCAACCCTGAGACGTTCAATGGACAGAAATCCGATCAACAAAAATCCCCAAACAACCCCCTGGACAACCCGGACAACACATGCTGAACCACCACCGTGCCCCCTGGCACGTCGAGGCGTGGTAGAACGCCAAATGCTGTCTGGTATGGCTCTGGTAATCTTTGAAGGGGCCCCTCCTCTTCGAGCCGCACCTCGTTGCGCACACCAGCCATACTCCCGGGAATCCCTGGGCGGCCATGGCGCCTCTCCGGGGGGTCGCTGGAGGGCCCAGGAGGCCTCCAAGACGGTCCAAGAGGGCCCCGAGTCGCCGAACGATCGTTCGAATACGCCCAAGATGGCCTCAAGATGGCGCAAGATGCTTCCCAGGCGCCCCAAGAGTTCTCCAAAGAGGGCCCCTAAAGGCAACATGCCACTGATTGTCCTATCGTTTCTGGGGGATTTGGGCGTTTTCGCCTTTTCGGCTTCCCGACGCTCCAAGGTGTCCCCAGAGGCGCCAAAGACCACCCAAAAACGGCCCAAAGGCCTCCATGAGGGCCCCAAGACGGCCTAAAAGCGCCCCAAGACGGCCCAAGGGGCACCCAAGAAGACCCAAGAGAGCCCCAAGATGGCCCCAACAGGGGCCCCCAGAGAGGGAACACGACCAGAAAGTCTGAGCCTTCCGCCACAAGGGGCACCCAGGAGGCCCCGCGAGGCGCCCAAGAGACCCCAGGAGGCCCCCGATATGCCTCGAGCGGCCCCCAAACGGCCCCCAAGCGGCCTCAAAACTGCCTCCAAGAGGCCTCCGAGAGGCCCCGATGAGATTCCAACAAACATTCACTAGGCAACTGTATGAATGACAACAAGACGGCCTACCCAGGACAACCCCTTGGACACCCCAGCGGGGGCTCAGACAACCCCACTGGACAACCCCCCTTGGACAAGCCTCCCTGGGATTTGCCTTCCATAAGATATCGTAGCCTTGCCAACCATCGCTTCGCCTGAATCGATGAGGAAGGTGGCGGCAGGGTTCGGATCCCGTCCCGTGTTCCACAAATTCTGTAGCCCATCGCGTTGCCTGATTCGTTGATCGGTGAGGGTAGGGTTCGTATTTCGCTGTCGGCTCCAGTCGCGTGGATCACTCGATATCGGGCGGTTCCGAAAGCGTTCAACCGTGAGCGCCCGCACCATGGTCGCCGCCGCGTCGACGCGGCGCGGCTCTACGATGGCCCGACCCTCGCGACCTCAATACACTCAGAATCGGTCCCGGCACTCCTCCCGAGATCCGTCCTGCTGGCTAGCTGTTTCACCACCCATCGCGCTGCTGCTGCCCCGGGTCAAAGCAAACCCGGGTGAGTCGGGCTCTAAAGGATCCTGCAAGATCCTCTGCGCTAGCCCAGGTCAGTGCACCCCTGGCTCTGCAGGTTCCTGCAAGATCTGGCGCTCTGGCTGACCTCCCGAAAGGGCACCCCAGAGGCCGCGATCCAGGAACAAAAACAACGTGAGCGGGAACGTTAGAAACATCGAGCTCGCATCGGCGAGAGATCGCCGATAGATCGGCGAATACGTAGGCCCCCGATGAGCTCCTGGGCGGGGCGGGCTGTCGGGCACTTGTCGGCGAGGTCTCAGGAGGCCGGCAAAAAAACAGACGGCACGGTCGCCCCACCGAAAGAGAGAGAGAGAGAGAGAGTGCGAGAGAGCGAGCGGTCGTCCAGTGATGCCTTTTTCGAGCCTGCACGAGCCTGCGGGCCGAACTGCCCCGGACCGGGGGCGTGCAAACATGGATTCGCGATCCATGGATTTGGCGCGCGGTCGCCAAATCCATGGATCGGGAGAGGTGCCCTCCGCAAAATGTGGCCGGTGCCGCCTCGCTCGGCGGCGGAAATCCGCGATTTCCCATGGAAACGGGACCCGTCGCTAATCCGTGCCCCCTCGATCCATGTTTACGATCGCCTGACTGACCCAGATCTCGGGAAAGTCGCGCGGCACAGCTGCTAACCTCGCCGGCAAAGCTGCTACCGCGCGGCGTGAGCCACCCAGCCCCGCCGCGGAAATTGGGGCGCGCGGAGGTCGGGGGCCCCCCGCAACCGTTGCCCCTGACGACGGCGAGAGCGCCCTGTTCGGTCGTCCGCGCGGCAGCGCGCCCACGCGGCGCGGCCGTGCCGCACGTGACGGGCCCCGTGATGCGGTCCCACATGTCGGGCAGGGCAGAAGGTTTGGATAGCAAAGGGGGGGGGTCTGAGAATCAGCTCGCGCAGCTGATTTTCCCGGCGCCTCCCGGCGCCGGAGGCGGCCATCTCAAGGAATGGGCCCTTCGGTGAAGCTGAAACCAGCTGCATACAGCAGATTTCAAACCCCCCCTTTCCCTATCCCCCCTTTCGTTCGACCCGAGCATGGGCGGTCCCCTCTGGGCGGCGGTTCACGGCGGCCTCAGCCTCCTGCGAGATAGTCTAGCGGCTGCGTTGTGGCAAGAGTCCACGGGGTTGGGTACTGGTGCATGTGAGCCCCCCTGCAGGCCACACCTCGGAGGTTCCGGCGTGGAAGGACGTCTGGCGCCGGGTGAGACCCAGCGAGGGTGTCGGATGCCCGATGCCCCAGCATCGATTCGACCCGTAGGGATATGCTTCGCAAAGGATCGCGGATCGATCAAACGACTGGGCTCTCGTGCGTGAATCGGGTGCGCTGAGGAGAAGCGGCGGCCAGGGCAGCGCGGGGGGCTGCTGATCACAGGCTGCGGGCGTCCCTGGCCACAGGCGCCCTCGGCTTCTCACCCCGCTCGGAGGTCCTTGCTTGAGACCCTCTGGGACTCGTGAGCGGTGCTGTGGGGGCCCTGGGGGCCTGCCTTAGAGGGGGGGCAAAGTGGCCGTGACCAAGGCCGATCGCGGAAACGTCGTTGCCGATCTTGGCCGCCGTCAGTCCGTGGGTCGTCCTCGCGAATCGGCGGCCAGCGTCGACCACGACCAGCATCCCGTGACAGTGCTCATCGCGTCTTCCCTCGAAGCCCGGCAGTCCCAGGGGGGCGCCTTCGGCCAGAAACAGATCGTGACCCACACCCCGGCAAGGGGCAGCGCCCGCCTCCAGCCTCCCGGCCCTGCGCGCCGCGCCGTCCACCTCGGCCTGCGCCGCGGGAGGCGATGCACTGGCGGCGGGGAGCTGGCTGTGGACTGGGCAGAGGCTGGACGGGCACGATCCGAGGGGAAAAAGCAGACGACGCGAACATGCGCACTCTCGGAGCTCCGCTCGGATTCCTAGGATCCGCGAAGGGCCCCCTGGCGGAGAGGAGATGGCAATGGACTGGGCAGAGACTAGAGGCCTCCGTGATAAGGTCCGGGCAGATGAGGTCGGCGGAACGCGCCCATCGAAAATTCATCATCGATGCATCAGCGACGTCGGCGTGGACATAATCGGGCCCCACACCACATCGAGCCGCATCGCCGATACATCGGGGATGCGGCGCGATCCTCCGAACCCCATGTAATTACTCTGACCACCCACATCTGGGAGGCCTTGGGAGACCGGCCACGGCCTCAATCCTTGGGCAGGCGTGTTCGACTACTGCTACTCTCAAAATGCCTGGATCCGCCGCGGGGGGGTTACAATCCACTACCTCGAGGCATCTGTGTGTTTCTCGGACCATCTACGGGTATGCACTATGCGAGTAGTGGAACGCGCTCGGTGAATCCTATTGGCGGCGTGCACAATGGGGGTAGGAAGAGGGGGGAAGGCTCCCTAGAAAGAGGCTGCGCCTTAGAATGCTTAGAAGGCGCCGGCCTTACGTCTGCAGATGAGGCCCGCGCCTTCTAAGAGGCAGGGTGCTTCTAAGACACCTTCCCGCCTCCCCCTGCCGCCCTCTGCGTCTGGCGGATCCTCGAGGAAGAGAAAGCGGCATCAGCATACACTGTCTGATGGGCCTGTTCTCTATCACCACCACCACCATAAGTTCGAGGGGGAGGGGGTCCTCCTCCACCTCCTCTTCTTCCTCCTCCTCCTCCATTTCGTCCTCCTCCTCCTCCTCGTCCTCCACCTCCTTCCCCCCTCCAAGTCATGGTGGTGGTGGTGGGAAACAGGCTCGGAGCTCTCGGATCGGCGCTGCGCCCCCCTGGCGGCGCCCGCCGCCCCTGGCGCGCTCCGCGCGCCGGGGTGGGGGAGCCAGCGCCGAGCCGAGAGGTCGGAGCGGGGCTCCGACAACTCGGGTCTATCACTGTCTGCGCAGATCTGGACGCCCGACAGAGGTGCAGGAAGCACGGGTACGATGCCCCATAACAACTGCGTTTCAAAGCCGTCAGCTGCCGCTGTTGGACAGGCGGCCTTCTGTCTTCGATGAGCAACAACCGCGGCGGCGCGGACAGCGAGTCTGGTTCAAAGTGAGCAGCAACTGCTGTTGGGCATCGTACCAATTCTTTCTGTATACATTTCGGTCGCCATCGAACAACGTGTTCCTCATTCGAAAGACAATCCTGAAATTTCCTGTCTGTGCGATCGCGCCTGGCCACTGCTTCTGGGGTGACGCGGGGGCCAGTCCTTTTCAACAGGCTCCCGAGAAGCCTCCTCCTTCTCCTTTTTCCTCCTTCTTCTCGTCTTCTTCCTTTCCTTCTTACTTGTTCTTCTTATTATTCTTCTTTGTCTTATTTCTCCCACACGTGTTCCCCCAAGGGGTTCCACAACGGCTGAGGGAACATATCGTCCGATAGCTTGGCCAAGCCATGGACGCAACGTTCGACAACATAGGTGCTTCCAAAAACGACAGGGGGCGGCGGCCTCCTAGCGGCGCCAGGGGCGGCGCTGGAGGGTGCGTCACAAAAAAAGGCAGTTCGCAAATCATGGCGCGAGGCATGTGCGCGGACGAGGTGGCCAGAGGACGTACGTATTAAAAGAAGAAAGAGGGGGCCAGAACATCCAGGGGTCTATCATGACCCTAACAATAGGGGCATCTCGAATGGGGTCCGAGTAGATGGGGCCGAAGGATCGCGCCGCATCGGTGAAGCATAGTAGATGCATCTGCGATGCATCGGGGCCGCCGGCGTGGAGAAAGCTGCGCTCCAAATCGAGCCGCATCGCCGACACATCGGCGATGCATCGGCGATTCGGCGCGATCGTCGGACCCCACCCTCTCGGACCCCATCCGGGGAGAGGCCTAGAATCGTGGCCCCAAGCATGATATCCACCCCCCTGGTCCTAGTCATCACCCCCCTGTGGGCCGCCCCCGATCGCCTTCGGCCCTGAGAGGCCGAGAGGTTGAGCAGGGACCGACCGTCCTGGCATTCCTCTAGGCCTACCACGCCGACTTTCAGAAGAAAATCATGTTCTGATCACAGAATGTATGGTATTAGAACATAGAACCGATTGGCTAACACAATGCAGTCTCAACCACAGACTACTTGGTTAGAGGCCTCTAAGATGGGGTCCGGGTAGATGGGTTCGAAGGATCGCGCCGCATCGCCGATGCATCGGCGATGCATCCGCGATGCAACGGTGATACATCGGCGACGTCGGCGATGCGTCGCCGACGTCCGCGTGGAGAACATCGTGCTCCATCTCAAGACGCATCGCCGATGTTTCAACGATGCGGCGCGATCCTCCGACCCCACCTGCTCGGACCCCACCTGGGAGGCCTGGACTGGTGGGCCCACGGCAGGTTCGTGTCGTGTCCACCCTGGCGATGGTTCCTCACACCGCGGGAATTGTTCAAACTTGAACCATGGGCCGATTCCGAAACGTCATGTCGTGCAACATCGACCGATTCTAGGTCGCTGGCGGCGTTCAACCTTGAACGCCGGCGACAGAATCGCCACCGGTCGACACGACGCGAACCCACTGTAGGCACAGGCCAGGACGCCTCGCCACTGCGTCACAAGAGGGCCGGGCAGGTGCTGCAGCGGGACAGGGGCGGGCCCCGCCTCCAGGCGCCACGCCTCTCTGGCCACGGCCGCGTCCGCGGCTTCGGGCTGGCGCGGGGGCCCCCGGGGCGCGCGCCTCCTCCTCTGGCCCTCTCTGCTGGCCAAGGGGTGCTGGAGGAGGAGGGGGCGAGGAGCACTGTCGCCGGCTCGAGCTCGAGCGGGTGATGGAGGGGAGGAGGATGGGGGAGGGGGGGAGGAGGGTTAGGAGGGAGGAGGAGGGAGGAGGAGGAGAGAGGGGGAGGAGGGGGAGGAGGACGAGGGAGGAGGGATGAGAGAAGAGGACGGGAGCAAGAAGCAGGGATCAGGAGGAGGAGAGGGGAGGCTGGAGTGGCATCCTCTTCTCCTCCCCTCCCCCCTTCCCGCTCCCTGCCCCTC